CAGGAATGTAAAACTACCATGGGCCAGACCTGTGCCAGCCTTTTCTGCCAGCTAGGGGATCGGGGGCAGGGCAGTGTGGAAGAACAGAGTATAGAGAATAAAATTATATGTAAACGTATATGTGTGTGTGTGTGTGTGTGTGTGTGTGTGTGCGCGTGCGTGTGTGTATAAAATTCATTTTAAGTCTCATAATCACTGAAGGGTATTTTTTTTAACTGGGCAATTTTACCAGTGTTCTCGCTTGCACGTTCTGATAAGTTCCTAAATGGAAGCCTGGTAGAAATTAATCTTTTAATGCCTCATAAGTTAAAAAGCAAATCATAGAATGATATGGCTCGAAGGGATCCCAGAGATCTAAAGTGTTTCATGGAATATTAATGTCCTTGATCTCTTAATAGGTGTTTTGGAAATGGGCCCCATGGTCAAATAAAATTTGGGAATGCTGGGTTAAAGTTAAATGGGTATTTTTCCTGTGGAACTTCACGGAGTCATTCATATGCGAATGTGCTTTGTGAATCTCCAAGAGGGTGGATAAAGTCTGAAGTGTTTCAAGATTTATTTTACCCCACATTCTCTTTTTGAGAAATGCTGGTCTAGGTGAGCCAGATAGTGTAGTCTCTACATGATGATAGCAGCTGACACCTTTTTAAGAGCAAGGAAATCCCAAGGGGAAGGAAGGATATATCAGTTGCCCTTGTTTCATGCCAAGAATTCTCAGTGAGAGGCCTTTCTCTGGAGGCTCAGAGAAGGCTGGAAGGCATCTGTAGGCGAACAGGGCCCACTTCGTTGTGACCCACGCTGTAGAGAAGCTCTGAACTCAGCACAGAAGGATGACCAGCCCCTTAAAATCAGGAAAATGTATTTATCCCTGACCTAGCCCACTGAGGACACATGAAGTGGGGAGGGGACTGTCTTAGCTGTAGCTCCAAAGCTAGTCTGAGTCCCTTTCCCTAAGCAAACTAGTTGTGTGAGTTTAGGTTGGGGAAAGCACTGGTTCAAGAAGACATTAAACTGATGCCCTTTCAGAGGTGTCAGTGTGAAAATGCGTATCATGAAACTCCAAGGATGGGATAGAGCATGCAGGATTTTAAAAAGTTACTTGACTATGAAACGCTTATGCAGCATTTGGGAGGCACTTGTGTTACAAGGAAAACCCTTTGGGAAACACTGATCTAATCCGACCTTCTCGTTTTACCAGTGAGCAACTCTGGGCAGGCATTTCTTACCTGTGGAGCCCTCTCAGGTTCCTTTTCTCCATCACTGTGACACATTTGTTGGAATTAACTTGATCAAAATTGGGGGCAGCTTTGAAGAGATTTCTTTAGGTCATAAGCCCTTTTTGTATATTTCAAGGGCAAATTACTCTGTATACCTTGAGTTTCCATTGTCAAAAGCCACAGATTAATTCAACCAAACTTTATATAATATTACCTTTGCCCGAAGATGTTTACGTACAGTGGTGGTCTACAAAGATATAAAATGTAGTTCTTAGTATATAAGACATTGATAATAACGACAAATACTATATAGATGGCAATAATATGAATATCTAACATTTATTGAATGCCTTTCTGTTTGTTGGGCACTGTACTAATATATTTTCATCCTCCCAACAATTTATGAGGTCGGGATTATAATAATCCCCATTTCACAATGATGATACTGAGGTGAGGAGAGGGTAAGGAACTATTCCAAGGCCACGTACAGCTGGAGGAGAGAAGATGTATAGAAAGGTGTAGCAGCACATGAAACATGCCTTATGAGTGGTACAAAGTGCTATGTGAATTCAGAGAACAGAAAAATAATTTTCAAAAGACTTTATCAGTGAAAGTGTCAATTATGTGGTGGACAGTTATGGTTTGTTTGCCCATCTCTCCTGCCTTTGGGGACCAGCACCCCCTGACTTTGGAAGAACTTTGTCCCTTTCACTGTGGGGTCCCTGCTTTGTGGTTGGTTGCATTGCTTCAAACTGGACCAGAGTCTTTGGGAATTTGGGGATTAGAACCAAGGGAAGAGACTTTCCTTTTGGCTGGTAAAGCTGTAAAATCTTATCTGAGATGTGCCTGACTTGTCCTCGGCCCTGGGGAAGGAGCTGGGCTGTGCTAGGAGAGAATGATGGTGATGTCAAGAGAGAGGCAGGTCCTAGAAGTGCAGAGATGGAGTCCTGGAGACCTTCTGGTTATGTCTGAGGCTTGGAGGCTGCATCCTTTTCTTCTTGTCTGGGACAGAGGACTTACCACCCTCTCCTGGGAATGATACTGTCCTTCCTTGCAAAATGAAATGTTATTAGAAAGTGGTTAAAAAAAATCCCCCATCATAGAAATGTGCACAGGTCCTTAGAAGTGTTGACATTCTATTTGGTGCTAAGACAAGGCTCCCTCAACCATAAAGTCAGGAACTTTACAGGGGAATGGAGAGAGTAGAGGCAAAACAACAACAACAACACACACACACACACACACACAACCTTCACTGTTGAAGAGAAAAGCTAAAGAGTCTCAATAGGATTCAGTTGATGACTTCACACTTTAATGATATTAATAAAAAGGGGAGGGGCCACATAAGAATTTGTACTGAATGTAGGTGCCATCTTGGCCACTTCCTTCAACCTCACAGAAAGCCTCCTTTTTCTCATCTGTAAAATGGGAATGATATGAATGGCATTACTACTTCTCTTAGTTGTTTTGAGCCTCCAAAGAGAAAACAGATGCAAAGCCTTTGTCAGCTGCAAAACAGCATATAAGTGTGAGCTGTTATTCACAGTCATCTTACTATGATCAAACACTTTATAATCCTGCAGCAAATCCAGCTGAGTCCCAGGAAGTGGACAATATTTGGACGAGGAGAAGAAGCAGGAGATTTCAGTGACTTTAGTGGGTGCAAAAATGCTTTGAGGGTGAAAGGAGATAGAAGCAAAAATGAGAATGGTTTCTTCCCTTTTGGGGCTTTATCCTTTTTGCCTGTTGATTTTCTATGGGGAATTTCTTGATTTGGGATTTTTGGTGGGCTTTATGGAGAGAAGGCAGAACATCTCTGACCCCCCCCTCCCCACCCCACCCCCAGATGCCAGAAAGCTTGTGAAAGGAGCAAGCCCAGTTCCTGATACCCTGTCGTTGTTTAATTGGGGTTTGTTCATTCATTCCTGGTAGGACCTTACAAAGTGCTTTACCCTCCTCCTAGTGAAAGCGATGAATCCTGGTAAGAGCTCCACAGCGTGGACACGTACAGTGTGGGACAGCCTGTTTCTAAGCAGGAGCTGGGCCAGGGAGGGTGAAAGGGCAAGAAGAATAAGGAAATACGCGTCCACGCATCTGTGTTGCTGCTGTTGTGACCACCACAACAAACAAGCAAAAAAAAAAAAAAGTTTTCTTCCTGAGAAGTGTGCTGCCTTCAGAGAGCCTGGGGAAAAGTGTGGATGGCTGGGTGGATCCTGCTGGATTGAAGGGCCTGACAGTATGTGATTCCCTGCAACAAATGGTAGTGGTGGGGTGTGTGTACACACGGAGACACACTCGCAGCGCCCAGCCTCCAATTTCAGAGCTGGCAGAAGATAACAATTCTCAGCTCGCTCTTCCAGGGTTATTTTTGGCTGGGGCTGTTCTCTGATGGCAAAAGGTTTCAGCCCCCTCCCAACTCCACCCCTGTCCTTGTTCAAAAGAGAAACTGGTGCTTGTAAACCGCTCACTCCCTGGGAGGCTGGGAGGCAGGGCTGCGGGTTGGAGGGGAGAGGGGCCGCGGGTACGGGGAGAGGACCCCCAATCCTGGTCAAGTTCTCACCACCCCTTCCCCGGCTGTTTTCTAGCGGAGGGTGTGCCGGGGGAGACGCGATCACCGGGGAAGGCTCGGGCTAGGCGCGCGAGGAGGCGTCACCGGGATCGGGGTAGTTGGCACTGGGAAGGGGCTTTTGGGACACCCTGAAAGTGAGTCCAGCTGGGAGAAGAAGCTGCGGGCACGTAGGGCGCTCCGGCCGGAGAGGAAGTTGGGCGGGTGCGAACTTTTCTTGGAAGGTAGAGGCCAAACTCTGCGGGGGCAGCTAGGGGCCGCGCGCAGAGGGAGGAGCGGTCGGCGCGGCAGGAGGGCGCGGGGCGCGGGCCGGCCGCAGAGGGGGCCGCGGCGCGAGGCGGAGCCCGGGCGCGCCGCCAAGCTGGTGGGGGCCCCGTCGGGCTGCAGATTCCCTCCGGCTCCCGGAGCCGCGGCAGGACCGGCCAGGAGGCGCCATGGAGGGGAGCCCCATCCCGGTGCTGACGGTGCCGACGGCGCCCTACGAGGACCAGCGGCCGGCCGGCGGCGGGGGGCTGCGACGGCCCACCGGGCTCTTCGAGGGTCAGCGCAACTACCTGCCCAACTTCATCCAGAGCGTGCTGTCGTCCATCGACCTGCGCGACCGCCAGGGCTGCACCATGGTGGTGGGCAGCGACGGCAGGTACTTC